CCTGAGGATGATCTCTACTGTCAGGAAATTCTGGAAAAGCCCAGATTCCCATTATAAGGACATTCATGTATATTGCTATTTCTCTACTCTACCCCAGTAGAATATTGGGCACCTACTGATCCGGGGGTTCACCCTTCAGTGACATATATTTTTGCCTTTTCATACTGTTCATGGGATTCTCAAGGCAAGAAATACTGAAGTGGTTTGCCATTCCCTTCTCCAGTGGGCCACGTTTTGTTCAAAGAGTCAGACATAACTTAGTGACTGAACAACAACATAGGTATTGCATCAAACCCTAGCATGCAAGGAGGAGATTTTTAGCCTTTGACTTAACAAGAGAAATGACTAATGGTGAAAATACAACTTCCCAAGCTTGTGATTGGTTTACAAAATAAATACTCTTTCTTCTGCCCAGAATGCTACGTCTACCTGTGTATGTACTTTAATTCTCCATTTCCCCAGGAAGTTTTCTCTGCTGGCTCACAAAAAGCTTAGCACCACTCCTAGTTCACCCTTATAAATATCTGCATTCCTCTAAAGGTTCATTATCTGTTTACAACTTTCTCCCCAGTAAGACTGGGGTCTCCTCACATACCACAGTAGGAAAACACCTTCCCCTCCATAGACCAAATGGAGCTGAAAGGGAGTCAGCATTTAATTTCAATATAATCTACATGTGTACTTTTGGTCTTTTTTTTTCATGCCTTTAATTATATTTTTAACGTTTCTTCTTTTTCGTTTCATTTGCTCTTAATGTCTCAACCACAGTAAGGAAAGTCAGGATTTGAGATGCAGCTGGTCATTTTGTTCTTTCCCCTTCGTGGTTTTAGAAAAGGATAAAAGACTTGTAATGCAGTGACCTCCCCTGCCCCTCACCCCACGAGGAAGTACAAAACTTAATAAAACTTTATAGACAGCTGCTTCCTAAACCATTTTTGCTCTGCTTAATCCCTCAGTCGTGTCTAACTCTCTGCGACCCCATGGACTGTAGCCCGCCAGGTCCCTCTACCCATGGAATTCTCCAGGCAAGAATACTGAAGTGGGTTTCCTCCTCCAGGGGATCTTCCCAACCCAGGGATCGAACCCAGGTCTCCCGCATTGCAGACAGACTCTTTACCATCTCAGCTACCAGGGAAGTCACAAACCATTTAAAAATCCAAATTTAACAAAATGAACCACCCGGCTCAATACTTCTAGGTCTGCTTTGAAAGATAATTGACATGGTTTAAATCAACTGGAAATTAGAAGTGCAAGACTTATTCAAAGAGACCGAGTCCAAGTCACTTATTTGTCAATAAGAACACCAAGCCCAAAAAAGCCTGGGAGAGTCTGCCCTGTCCCGTCACAAACCCTGAGAATCCACTGCTGTTTCTGTAGTGAGACCACGTGCTGCCCAGAACAAGATCTGTCTGCGGTTATTTTGTTTTGTTCTGTTTTGTTTCACAATTGGGAAGATTGCCTTAGGTTTTTTGTATGCTTAAACATATTCGTGATAGAAATAAACTCAGATTTTAGAGGGAGGAGCAATATTAGCAGCTACTCAAGAGGAAGATATAGGAAAAGATGGGTCAAAGTGATTTCTCTTGGTAACAAGTTCTTTGAGATTTTTAACGTTCTATTTTTATGTGATATATTGAAATATTTTGACACTGAGTATAGTATGGCTATTTAACAAACATATTTTTAATTAATTTTTAAATTTATTTTTAATTGAAAGATAATTGCTTTACAATACTGGTTTGATTTCTGACATACAGCAGCATGAATTAGACACAGGTGTACATATGTCCCCTCCCTCTTGAGCCTCCCTCCCACCTCCCACCCTTTTCTACCCCTTCAGGTTGTTACAGAGCCCCAGTTTGAGTTCCCTGAGTAACACAGCAAATTTCCATTGGCTATCTATTTTATATATGGTAGCATGTATGCATATTTTACTGCTAACTATTTTGGCTGTCCTAAGCTGCCAATAGTTTTTTTTCCCCCGTAATGAGTAAGCTGCATGTTAATTTTAACTGTACAACATGGGTGACGTACTTGGAAAAAGTGCTGATGCCTGCAGTTAAACCCTCTGCACACCAGGCTTTCCTGGTCCTGCTGTCTGTCACTCTGCTGACCAACACTTGTACAAAACCAAAGTGAGCAATTGAAAGACACAGATCACTGGTGGGTGATACAACAGTAACTCCCACCTCTTATAAATCCCCATCTCAGCCAAGTGTCAACTCATTTCCCATGTCCTCGACATGAATGCTCACATAGTATGATACGCCATTGAAAGTTCCCATTGACCACTATTTTACAGTCTCTGCCTTAGACATATTTTTCAACAACTGGGGACCTCAGGGTTTGGGGAGAGGAGAAGAGAAAGGTGGAATAAACAAATTAAAAAGGATAGCAACTTTAAAAAATATAGAAGGAATGATACATGTACTAAATCTTCATTATCCATTCCTCTATTGATAGACATTAGGGTTGCTTCCATATTTTGGCTATTGTAAATTTTGCTGCAATGAACATCAGGGTGCATGTATCTTTTTGAACTCTTGTTTTCTTTGGGTATATGCCTAGGAGTTATATATAATGGAATGTTACAGTCATGAAAAAGAACAAAATAATGCCATTTGAAACAACATAGATGGACCTAGAGATTGTCATACTAAGTGAAGCAAGTCAGACAGAAACAGAAAGACAAATATCTGATATTGCTTATATGTGGAATCTAAAAACAAGGTATAAGTGAGCGTATTTACAAAACAGAAGATGAGTCACAGATGTCAAAAACAGACTTAGGGTTAACCAGGAGGAAAAGGGGGAGGGATAAACTGGGATACTGGGATTGACATGTGCACACTATGTCTGTTATTTCCTATTATTTATAGATAAAATAAATAACTAATGAGCACCTACTGTGTAGCACAGGGAACTCGACTCAGTCCTCTGCTTGGCTTGTATGGGAAAAGAATCTTAAAAATAGTGGATGTATGTGTATGGATAATTGATTCACTCTGTTGTATATCTGAAGTTAATGCAACATTGTAAATCAACTGGACTCCAGTAGAAATTTAACACATGTATCACAAGGAATGAAAGGAATAAGTGATCAAAGTGTCAACCTTATTGCTGATGAAAGCCAAATTGAAGAATGGACTTAAGTGAGCAGGAATAGCAGGTGTCATAATCTTGAACCCCAGAAATGGATATATCCACTCGCTCCAGGCATCATGGAGCAGCTCTAGTTCCGCCATGTGTGTCCCCTCCCTGGAGCGCATGCTACCAGCCCAGCACAATAGAGGTACATGTGCTAGAGGAAGGGATGAGGTAGGGCTGAGCCACGCAAGCTTGTCGCTTCCCCCAAGCTCAGTCATCAGATAAGTCACACCACTTTCCCTGTGGGAGAGGCAGGAGGCTAAGATTTTTAGGAAACTTCCCTCCTTTTAGAAACCATTTGACTGGGACACATAGATGAGAGAGGAGAGATGATGGAGGACAGATGGAACAAAAAGTGCCCACCGAACTGAGAAGGCATTTCGAGACCAAAAACTGATGCAGGAGGCTCCATGTAATAATAGAGCCCTTGATTACAGGGTAACTTACTCACAGGGTGGGCCTGGGCAGAAAATGATCTGAAAGCATTCACAGTGGCTGTGGCCACTGGGATGATTTGATGGTTAACCTGGAGTGTGGGGTGCTTGGAAATACGGCCCATATTCCCAAGTCAAGATTTATGAGTGAGTCATAGCTTCCCAGGTGGTGCAGTGGTAAAGAATCCACCTGCCAATACGAGAGATGTGGGTTTGATCCCTGGATCGGGGAGATCCCCTGGAGGGGGAAATAGCAGCCCACTCCAGTATTCTTGCCTGGAGAATCCCTTGGACAGAGCAACCTGACAAGCTACAGTTTTATGGTTTGGAAAGAGACCAAGATAAGTATATACGTTATTATAATGAAAGTCCCATATAATATGGGGAAGAATCACAAAAAAAGATGTATGCGTTGTGTTGAGGACTTCAGTCATGTAGTAGAAAGAGAGAGAGAAAAAAGAACAGAGTGCTTGCATGGGTGATATGTGAAATGAATGTGGTTTTGAGCTGACTATTAAAGGAGGGGTATATTTTTCTTTTTTAAAAAAATTTTATTATTGGCATATAATTGCTTTACAATTTTATGTTAGTTTCTACCGTACAACAAAGTGAATCAGCTATATAGATACATATATCCTGCCCCAGTACAGCCTCCCCTCCTCACCCCATCCCACCCCTCTAGGTCATCACAGAGCACCAAGCTAAGCTCCCTGAACCTTATAGCAGCTTCCCACTAGCCAGCTATTTTACATGGTAGTGTCTATTTGTCAGTGCTGCTCTCCCAATTCGTCCTGCCTTCCCCTTCCTTTTCAAATGAAAAGGAATAAGTCATTTTACTTGGAGAAATAAGCCTCAGAAATGACACAAAGCTTATTCATGGGGTGGTCCCTTCAGGCTAAATTATGGAATATGCTGGAATTTAGGTCCTGGATGCAACAGAAGGGACTTGAGTCCTCAACTAAGAAATCCTGCTTGCTTGAGTCCTTTTAAGAGTAGTTTTCTACTTTTACCTGCTCGGAAACACTGTAGGTGTTCAAAGATGTGGTTGTCAGTGGTCTTTGGGACTTAACCAAGGAGTTGATTAAAAGAGTTTAGAAATCATACCTACCATTTTGTTCCAGAAATTAAGTCACTCTCCTGAGAATTTCAGGATATCGGTATTCACCCAGAATCCCAGGAACACCTTGGAGCAAATGGGTTAAAGGGCTCAGGCTGTGTCCCTGTGCTTGGCGTTTACTGGCTGGGTCAACCCCGGGGTGGGGCGAGCCGTGTAGGAAGTTGAATCCGGAACCGCTCCTCCAGTTTCAATTGGCTTGTGACCCATGCTGGATTTCTTACTGCTTTTATAAATTGCTGTTCGATGTAACTATTTCTAGATGAAAAATAAAATAAAAATTATAAAACTCTTTTTTCTTTCAGTGAAGAAAAAGAAGCCTAAACTATTAAATAAATTTGATAAGACTATTAAAGCTGAGCTTGATGCTGCAGAAAAACTCCGTAAAAGGGTAGGTCGATGGTCTATGTTTCATAGAAACGTGCGATGGTTTCGTTGTTAAATAAACTCAGGCATTACCTTTGGTTTGTTTTTGAAAAACACTGCAAGAGAAACAAGCATTGAATAGAGTGGACTTTTCCCCAGGCACAGCAGCGTTCCACGTGGAGTGAATCAAATGAAAAGAAAAACTGCAGCTGTAATGGCCAGATAGAAACAGAACTTCACCTTCAGGCCAGCCAGTTGGGGAGTTAGCACCTTCCATCACCATCTAGTTGTGTGGCTTTGGAGAAATCACTCGGTCATTCTGAGTCTCCGTTTCCTTGTGTTAAGAAATGAGAATAATAGGTACTTACTTCTTCCTTGATTTTTTATAAAGATCCAATGAGATGAGCGTAAGTTAAGTTGAGGAAAAAGTGGAAGCAGTGACAGATTTTATTTTCTTGGGCTCCAGAATCACTGTGGATGGTGACTACAGCCACAAAATGAAAAGATACTTGCCCTTTTGGAAGAAACGCTATGACAAACCTAGACAGCGTATTACAATGCAGAGACATCACTTTGCTGACAAAAGTTCATCTAGTCAAACCTATGGTTTTTCCAGTAGTCATGTACAGATGTGAGAGTTGGACCATAAGAAGGCCGAGGGCCAAAGAATTGATGCTTTTGAACTGTGCTGAAGACTCTTGAGAGTTCCTTGGACTGCAAGGAGATCAAACCAGTCAATCCTAAAGGAAATTAACCATGACTATTCATTGGAAGGACTGATGCTTTAGCTCCAATACTTTGGCCACCTGATGGGAAGAACTGACTCATTGGGAAAGATCCCAAAGCTGAGAAAGACTGAGGGTAGGAGGAGAAGGGGATGACAGTAGATGAGATGGTTGGGTGGCATCACTGACTCAATGGACATGCGTTTGAGGAAGCTCTGGGAGATGGTGATAGACAGTGAAGCCTGGTGTGCTGCAGTCCATGGGGGTCACAAAAAAATCGGACACAACTTAGTGACTATACAATGAGCAATGAGATAAGAGATTTTTTAAAAAAACCACCAGTACTGCCAAGCAGCATACAAGTAAGGGATTTTGTTTTAAAGCACCTTGATGCAAAAAGGAAAAAGTTAATCTAATACTTAGGATAGTTACTATTAGGTGAAGTGATTTTAGATTTAAGATTCTTCTCACTTTGGGTTAAACTCACATAGCTCTAATTCCCAGGGTGATTATTTTATGTTTTGCTTTGTCATCAGTTAATTCAAAACCTTATTTGCATTTGTTCCTGGATATTGCAGTTTTTGAAAACAGGGAATTAACAGAAGATTGAAGTTATCTGTTCTCCCAACTCAGTCATATTCATCTAATTACCATGCCCAATATTGATTATAATGTATTTAATGACATCTTCACTTAATCATTTATAGGCTTACCTTGTTTTATTGTGCTTTACTTTCTTATTCTTCATGGATATTGCACTTTTTTTTTTTTTCCCAAATTAAAGGTTTTTGGCAGCCCTGTGTCAAACAGGCCTATCAGTGACATCTTTCCAACCTCATTTGCTCACTTCATGTCTCTCTGTCACATTTTGGTAATTCTCAAAATAATTTCAAACTCTCCACCAGCCAAGAGATTATGACTCGCTGAAGGCTCAGATGATGATCAACATTTTTTAGCAATAAAGTATTTTTAATTAAGGTTTGTGCATTGTTTTTTAGACATTAATGCTCTTGCATACTTAATAGACCATGGTGTGATGTAAAGTGCAAGTCTCTCAGTTGTGTCCAGCTCTTTGTAACCCCATGGACTACAGCCTGCCAGGCTCCTCTGTCCGTGGAATTCTCCAGACCAGAATACTGAAGCAGGTAGCCATTCCCTTCTCCAAGAGATCTTCCCAACCCAGGGATTGAACCCAGGTCTCCCATATTGCAGGCAGATTATTTACCATCTGAACCACTAGGGAAGCCTGGTGTGATATAAACATAATCTTTAAATGTAATGGAAAGCAAGATATTCATGGAGACTTGCTTTATTGCAGTGTTTGCTTTATTGTGATGATTTGGAACCAAACCCGCCAGATCTCCGAGGTTTGCCTCTACTTCTCTCTTGTGAACATTTCTGTCTTGGTTCTGTACTTGAATTTATACCTGGTGTAATACCATTGGGTTTCCTATAATGTGGTTTTTAATCAGTAGACATTGAGACATTGACTGCAAAAAAAAAAAAAAAAAGTNGAATCATCAGTGGAATTAAGTTTTTTAGGGTTGTTTTTATAGCTGGTGTTTTCAAATAATGCAATAGACTCCCCTGGGATTACTGTGGCCCTGAGGCATACTCTGGTCAGAAGAGGCCCAGTCTCAGGTCACACCCTTGTTTCAGATACCATGTGACATGAACGTGTGAGGTCACTTTCTATTTCCTCCAAAAATGCACAAATCATTTTTCAGTCACTGATTTTTAAAAATAACATGTATTGTTTAAAACTCCTCCTTATGCCCCAGAAAAAGGATTGGAAATGATAGACTAAAATATTCATTTGTTGGAATCATAAAAAATGGAAAGGAGGGAAAGCTTAATAAAGCCAAAAGTTGAACACATGAAAAGTTCACACTGTAGGCTCTAAACAGGGCTAGGAATGATGTCAACTGTGGGCTGAGTAAGGCAGGGGCATGGATCACACCGGCAGATGAATAGTGGTCCTCAGAAGAGCTGCTCTGTGTCAAGTCCAGAGAGAGTGTCCTGCTGTAGATCTGCATCAAGGACCAGATGATGATGATAGATGGCTCAGCCTCCTCCCTAATGTTGCACCCACTGATGCTTTTTGGTTTTTTAATTTATTTATTTTGATTGAAGTATAGTTGATTTACAATATTATTTTGGTTGAGTGTATACAGCAAAGTGTTTTAGTTATGCATGTGTGCTCAGTCATGTCCCACTCTCTGCGACCCCATGGACTACAGCCTGCCAGACTCCTCTGTTCATGGGATTCTCCAGACAAGAAAACTGGGGTGGGTTGCCATTTCCTCCTCCAGGGGATCTTCTCAACCCAGGTATCAAATCCGTGTCTCCTGCGCCTCTTGCATTAGCAGGCGTATTCTTTACCAATGTGCCATTTGGGAAGCCCGTTTCAGTTGTAAATACATACGTATCTATTTTTTTCAGATTCTTTTCCCTTATAATTATTGTAAAATATTGAGCATAGTTCCCTGTGCTGTACAGTAGGGCCTCATCAACTCTTTTCTTTTAGAAGATTCCAGTGAGTCAATGGAGAAGTAATTAAGAGAAATAGAAAATCTCAATGAATCCACCCCAGAGATGAATTCTAAACTTAATGAATACAATTTAGGGAGAAACAGAATTTTTGTATATCTTCAACATGTATCTTCCAAAATAGTCATTAATTACAAAACAAAAACTAGTAAATTTATAGTACACCCATGGATCTTAAGTGACCTCTATGGGCTATGTCTTAATGCCCTGCAAAATAGCCCACTGGCCTTATGCCAAAACAGAGGCTGGGGATGGGGTGACAAGGGGCAAGTACCTGTCTCTTCAATGAATGGTCTTGGTCCTAGGATCATATATAAGCTGTGTTGAATAACAGGTGATTTTTAGGCAAGTCTTCATGAGCATTCTATTTTATAGTTGAGTTTATTAAGAATTGTGTAATGGTATCAGGAGCTTTATTCTCCAGTAAGAACCTGGGGAAGGGAAATTTTTTTCAGACTAACAGCAAACACATTTACTTTGCCCAACAGCTGAGGGGAGGGCAGGGCTGATGGTCCCTTGGGAAAGGATCAGAGCATCTGTGTGAAGGGATCCAGAGATGCCTAGAACAGAGCCAGTGTGTTCCATTATTTATATAACCTTGATGGCCAACTAAGGGAGTGTTAGCTGGAAAAATACTTAAGCAGACTTGTTATGAATTAATCCTATGCTTTAAATTTGGAGATGGTGCATTTAGCATGATTTTCACAAAAATAGCTCCCAAATTTGCAATTGAAGTTGTGTAGGGCATGTCATAGACTGAAAAGTGTCCCCCCTGCCCACCCCTCAAAAATATCCATGTCCTAATCTCTTGAATCTGTAAATGTTACTGTGTTTGGAGAAAGGGTCTTTGCAGATAGGATTAAAGGGTCTAAGACAGGATTATCCCGGGTTATCTAGTTGGACCCTAAATTCACTCCCATGTTTCCATATAAGAGAGAGGCAGAGGGAAACCTGATATAGACAGAACAGAAGACACACAGAGAGAAGACAAAGTGGAGATGGGAGTGGTGTGTCCACCAGTGAAGAAATGCTGTCCCTGGTGGTCCAGTGACTAAAGACTCCACACTTCCAACACAAGGGGCCCAAGTTCAATCCCTGGTCAGGTCCCATATGCCCCAACTAAAAATCCTGCCTGCCACAATGAAGATCAAAGATCCCACACGCTGCAGCTAAGACCCCCCACAGCTAAATAGATAAATACGTATTTTAAAAGAAAAGAAATGCTGTCAGGAGGCAGGAACAGATTCTTCCTTACAGCCTCTGGATGAAGAATGGCCCTGCCCACATCTGGATTCCAGTCCATTCTCCAGACAGTGAAAGAATGAATTTCTGTTGTTTCAAGCCACTGAGTTTGTGGCCATTTGTTACAGTGGCCACAGAAAACTTTAGGTAGTTAGAAGAAAGTTACTCAGAAAAGGATATTTATTTTGAATTCTTCATCCCTTAAAATCATTCATGGGAGAAATAAAGTAGTGGTTTTAGAAGTTGTTATCCAAAACACACAGAGCATTCTTAAAATTCAATGATAAAAAATAAGCAACACGATTTTTAAAACAGGCCAAAGACCTTTGATGACAATTCACCCAAGAAGATATTCAGATGGCAGATGAGCATATGAAAAGATGCTTCACCTCATATGTTATGGAATGCAATCTAAAACAAGATGATACTACTACTACACCTTTAGAAAGACCACTATCACTGGATCACTAACAACACTGCATGCTAATGACCATGTGTAGCCCTGGAAACCCTCATAGTACAGCCACCTCGAAAGACAGTTTGACGGTTTCATACAAAACTAAGCATACTCTTGGCATACAATCTAGAAATCTCGTTCCTTGGTATTTATCCAAAGGAGTTGAAAATTTATGTTCTCCTAAAAACCTGCACGTAGATGTTTATGGCAACTTTCAATAATTGCCAAAACTTGAAAGCAACCAAGATGTCCTTCGGTAAGTGATCAGATAGATAACTGTGATGCATCTAGACAATGAAATCTGATTCAGCACTAAAAAGAAATATCTATCAAGCCAAGATAATTGTTGTTGTTCAGTTGCTCAGTTGGGTCCGACTCTTTGTGACCCCATAGACTGCAGCACACCAGGCTTCACTATCCATCACCATCTCCCAGAGCTTCCTCAAACTCATGTCCATTGAGTCAGTGACACCATCCAACTACCCCGTCCTCTGTCGTCCCCTTCTTCTCCTGCCTTCAATCTTTCCCAGCATCAGGGTCTTTTCCAAAGATTTGGCTCTTTGCATTAGGTGGCCAATATGAAAAGATGCTTCACCTCATATGTTATGGAATGCAATCTAAAACAAGATGATACTACTACTACACCTTTAGAAAGACCACTATCACTGGATCACTAACAACACTGCATGCTGATGACCATGTGTAGCCCTGGAAACCCTCATAGTACAGCCACCTCGAAAGACAGTTTGATGGTTTCATACAAAACTAAGCATACTCTTGGCATACAATCTAGAAATCTCGTTCCTTGGTATTTATCCAAAGGAGTTGAAAATTTATGTTCTCCTAAAAACCTGCACGTAGATGTTTATGGCAACTTTCAATAATTGCCAAAACTTGAAAGCAACCAAGATGTCCTTCGGTAAGTGATCAGATAGATAACTGTGATGCATCTAGACAATGAAATCTGATTCAGCACTAAAAAGAAATATCTATCAAGCCAAGATAATTGTTGTTGTTCAGTTGCTCAGTTGGGTCCGACTCTTTGTGACCCCATGGACTGCAGCACACCAGGCTTCACTATCCATCACCATCTCCCAGAGCTTCCTCAAACTCATGTCCATTGAGTCAGTGACACCATCCAACCACCCCGTCCTCTGTCGTCCCCTTCTTCTCCTGTCTTCAATCTTTCCCAGCATCAGGGTCTTTTCCAAAGATTTGGCTCTTTGCATTAGGTGGCCAAAGTATTGGAGCTTCAGCTTCAGCATCAGTCCTTCCACTGAATATTCAGGACTGATTTCCTTTAGGATTGATTGATTTCATTTCCTTGAAAAGATAGGGATGAAAAGATAAGGAGGAAGCTTAAATGCATATTACTAAGTGAAAGAAGCTAATCTGAATAGGCTACATACTATTTGATTCAAACTATATGACTTTCTGAAAATGCAAAACTATGGAAAAAGTAAAAATGTTGGATACCTGTCATTATACATTTGTCCAAACCCATAGAATATACAACACTAGGAGTGAACCCAAATGTAAATTATGGACCTTGGGTGATTTTCATGTGTCATTGAAGGCTCATCAATTGCAACAAATGTCCTGCTGTGCTGAGTCAGGATATGGATTATGGAGGAGTCAGTGCATTAGTAGGGGAAGGGGGTACATGGGAGAGCTCTATACTTTCCTCTCAATTTTGCCACAAACCTAAAACTGTTCTAAAAAAATAAAGCCTTTTAAAAAGTCAATATTGTGAGAGGCATGGCATATTTTAAATAGCCATACAATTATTTCTGACAATTAACTTAGAGAATAAGTTACTAGCTTGATTTATCTCAGCCTTCAAACCCTCATTCTTTTTGCATTAACCTGTCCATCAGGTAAGAGACTTACCTGGGACACACTTTATTCTCCTGTGCTGGCTCTCATATCCTCCCCACACTATAGTAGTAGCAATAATAGCTAACAAATTTTCAATAGTTTCCATGGTCTCTGCAGCAGCTCTAAGCACTTTATGGATGTTGTTAGATTTGATCTTCACAGTAACCCCCAAGGTAATCAAGTACTCCCGTTGTCCCCATTTCACAGATGAGGTGTATTAAGGCAAAGTCATAAGTAATTTGCCAGAAGTTTCACGTCTCCCAAGTGGTGGAGCCCAGATTCTAGCTAGACCCTCAGCATCACTGATCGGCATGTGACAGGAAATAAAAAAATAAACCAAAAAAAAAAAAAAACCTCCTTCCAGGATTTTAAGGGGCTTTAATATAGATATTGCCTGGTTCTATTCAGCCAAGTCATTGAGAAGTAGGTGTCAGTAACAATCTAGTAGTACTATACGTGTGCTGAGCCCAACCACATTTCTGGGGTGAACGTTGTTGTTATGAAAACTCACTCAGTGAAGGTAATGGCATACAAAGCACAGTGAACTCACATTTACACAAGGAAAGAATGGATTTATGGACAGATGGCCTGAAGGGTCTGGTAAAGTTCAACTCAGTAACTCTGTCTCCATCTCATGGTTCCAACATCCTGATGTACTGCCTTCCAGTAGAACATCAGGAGACGTGTGTTTGATGGTTCTATTCAGCCAAGTCATTGAGAAGTAGGTGTCAGTAACAATCTAGTAGTACTATACGTGTGCTGAGCCCAACCACATTTCTGGGGTGAACTGTGTTGTTATGAAAACTCACTCAGTGAAGGTAATGGCATCCAAAGCACAGTGAACTCACATTTACACAAGGAAAGAATGTATTTATGGACAGATGGCCTGAAGGGTCTGGTAAAGTTCAATTCAGTAACTCTATCTCCATCTCATGGTTCCAACATCCTGATGTGCTACCTTCCAGTAGAACATCAGGAGACGTGTGTTTGTCACCGTGGATGGACTGAGGCAGGGGCAGGGGGTGGGGGTGGGACTCCTCACCCCCATGCTGAGACCCTCAGCAAGCTTACCTGTCGCACATCCTCTGCGTCTGTTTCCACAGTGGTGGTCAGAGACCTATCACAGGTGCTCCAACTGGCCTCTTAAGGACCCACGTAGGCTTCGGGAGGGGTCTCATGACCTGGAGGCAATGAGGCACTTAAGCACCAGCTGAGCCTCATCAGCCCTGATGCTCAGTGGGTGACAGTTTCCGAGGCCAGGTGGCCCTCTCATCTCATATGCTTGTTCCCCACTGAGACTGCCCTTCTCATTGCAGACGTTCTCACTGCCAGGAATATTCCTCCCCCAGCTTAAGTCCTAAATGTCTTTTAAAGATTGCATGTAGGAACTATACATGCAGAGAGAAAATACCATTTCTTTAACAAAGACTCATAGTCCATCATTAGTCAGGTATCTGCCTTTTAAAAAATAAAGTCTGTTTGTGTTCATTTCTAGTTTTATGTTTTCCATCATGCAGTTAATTATTTAAAATCTTAAGACAGAAGATTGTTAACTATAAGCTCAGAAGGGAGTCTGGAAAATTTTAACAAAATTTACTTGGTGAATATTAAATAACTGTATTATGCATTTGAATTTATTCTATGTATGTAATTGCCTCTTCCTAACAGGGAAAAATTGAGGAAGCAGTGAATGCATTTGAAGAACTGGTTCGCAAGTACCCTCAGAGTCCAGGAGCTCGGTATGGGAAAGCACAGGTATGCTGAAGCCCTGATACTTAGGACACTGTTTTGATGTCCTTATGTTCTGTATCATCGGATTTTTTACCACCTGGTATTTGCATTTTGGGCTTCCTTGATGGCTCAGTGGTAAAGAGTCTGCCTACTAATGCAGGAGACACAGGTTCTATCCCTGGGTCAGGAAAATCCCCTGGAGAAGGAAATGGCAACCCACTCTTGCCTGGAGAGCTCTGTGGACAGAGGAGTCTGGCAGGCTACAGTCCATGGGGTTGCAAAGTCGGACACAACTGAGCGACTAACACTACACTATTTGCATTTTATTTTCCCTTCTGACTTGTATACAGAATCAACTTCTCATGCATATGCATACATTCAAGCAAGAAATACTGTTTTAAATAAGGCAATTAATTATTCCTATTTTGTACTAGTGAATTTCATAACGTATTTTTGCTCCCCCTCCATCTAGTTTCTCTCCGACTTTGAAAAGAAAATAAAGAGTAACACTTTCATCTCTGATTTCCCATCCCCTTCACATTCATTCCATTTGACCACCACCTAGTTAAATAGAAAGTGGAATGGACTTGGTTCTCTCTGTAGTGTCTGTCAACTGACTCATTTCTTACCACCTACCTTCACCCCAGCTCCACCCTCACCTCCCTTTCTCATCAGACTTTCTCCATCTTTCAACTCCTCAATTCATGAAGCTTTTCCATGTCTTGCTGTAGCTGCAGAAACCCTCCATGGGCCACATACCGTTTTAGGCCCTGGGATTATCGCAAAGAATACTCTAGAGGTCTCTGGTCCTGTGAAGCTTATATTCCAATGGAAGATATTTTAAGTTTCTTTCTCAGAATTTTTGTAGTGAAAGTCCACTCTATGGCAGGCCCTGTTCTGGGCACTGCAGATGCAGCTATCAACAAAACACAGGGCGTTTTCACTGTAATGAAGACAGTACAAGAGACATAGAAGAGAATCTCTTGCTTGCTACGGGATACACTGTCAGGAGACGAAAGTAAAGCAGAGCACGGCTATAGGACATGTGAGGAGGGTTAAAATGTTGGATAGGGTGGCCAGAAGATGGCTCATTGAGGCGGTAACGTTTGAGCAAAACCCTAAAGGTCTTTATAGATAAATCTATATTTAAAGAATATTAGAAGTGTTAAATATATTAGGACATCTTACCCGATACTATATACCATAAAGAAGATCATAGAGTAAAGAACATGTTATTACAATGTTTTGTTCGTAGGTGGTAGGAGAGTGGCACAGTGATTTAAGATAATCAGGTGATCAGAAAAGGCCTTCCTAGGTGGTGACAAGTGGCTGAAATGTGACAAGGTTGAGGAAGGAGCTGTCCAGGCAGAGGGAACAGGGAATCAACCTTGACTTGATCCCCGGTGGACAGGAGGAGGGGCGTACTGAAGGAGGTGGCATGGGGTAGGTGGAACCAGGGCCTCATGGGCTGTATTCTCTGTACACTGGAAACCTTGGAGGGTTTGTGCATGGATGTGCCTCTCCGGTTGTTTTTTTTTTTTTTTTTAAATGACTAGTTGCTGGGTAGAGAAAGGATTACCGTGGCATGAGTCAGAGCCAGAAAAATAGGAGAGATTGCAGGTGTCCTCAAGATGCTCTGGCTTGGACTGGTCCTGGCCACAGAGGTGGGGCAGTGGACAAGGGCAGGACTGAATCAGACAGTAAGGAATCTGCCTGCAATGCAGGAGACCCAGGTTCAATCCCTGGATCGGGAAGATTCCCTGGAGAAGGGATAGGCTGCCCACTCCAATATTCTCGCCTGGGAAACCCCATGGACAGAGGAGCCTAGCAGGCTACACTCCAAGGGCTGCAAAGAGTCAGATACAACTGAGCAGTTTTTAATTTCAGAGATGAATTTGGCATTTTTGGTTCGCCAGTCTAAGGAGAGGATGGTGCCAGGTACTGACCAGGAAGACTGGAACAGGTTTGGAGAGATGCAAAAATCAAAGATCCACTTCTGGTTCCTGTGAAGTTTGTGATGCCTGTTACACGTTCAAGTGCACATTGTCAAGTAGACCATAGGTGTTATTCAGTTTGGAACCCTGGGTAAAATCCAGGGCTGGTGTACAAATGTCAGGCAGTAAACCTCCTCCTGCCAGGGGAGGATGAGACTGTCAGCCCTGCTGGGAAATGGCAGATTCTGAGCTGCAGAAATTTCCCAGATTCAGGAGAAGCTGACAACACTTGTTCAGAGGGGGCAGTGCTGTCACTTGTGAGTGACACTCTCACGGAAACTAACACATCTAGAGATAAAACAAGTATGTTTGGCTCTTAACTAAAGGTGACAACCACTCGAAATATAGATGCTTAAATTCTTCCTGTGAGTGTGTACATGCTCAATCATTTCAGTCATGTCTGACTTTTTTTTGACCCTGTGGGCTGTAGCCCACCAGGCTCCTCTGTCCATGGGATTTCCCAGGCAAGAATACTGGAGTGGGTTGCCATTTCCTCCTTCAGGGGATCTTCCCGACCCAGGGATCAAACCCACATCTCCTGCATTGGTAGGTGGATTCATTACTACTGAGCCACCTGGGAAGTCCCAAATTCTCCCTGTTTTCTCCTTAAAAGCTTATTAAACTTGTATTAATTCAATTTTAATAAATTAAATTTGTGAAAATTTAATGCAAAGAAGTTCCTTTTATCCGTGATGCAGTACAGACTAACAACTATATCATATCTATAAACTAATTGGGTCAGCAATCCTCCAAAATTGTTAAATTGAATTGTTGTGAAGCAAGAGAGAATGTGCTTGTTACCTGAAGTTGGTGCCTGTTTAAATAAGTGATGTGCTTTGCTACTAGTTCTGGCAGTTGTTTGATTAAGGAAAGCCTGTTAACTCGAGAGAATAATGGGTCAAGTGCTAATTATGACAAAAATGTTCCATGCTTTAGATTTTTCTTTATATGTGATAGTAATTGCAAGTACCAAATGCAGTACTTTTGCACATGACACTCACTGTGTCTATATATACATAAATATATTTATATGTATAAATATATCCTTATTTAACAGTAGGAATTTGAGATTTATGCCTCAGCAATATATTTTATCTATAAACTATTACACTACAATGTGTTATCAATATTAACATTAATGTGAAATTTAAGCATGGTGAATTAAATTTTTAAGTTTAAATACATAGGAATTAGTTGTTTGTTTGTTTGATGTGGACCATTTTTAAAGTCTTCATGAACTTGTTACAATATTACCTTCATTTTATGTTTTGGATTTTTGACCGTGAGGCATGTGGGATCTTAGTTCCCTGACCAGGGATCAAACCTACACCTCCTGTGTTGAAAGGCGAAGTCTTAACCACTGGACTGTGAGGGAAGTCCCATAGGAGTTTTACAGACGAAAGTTCAACAGAAGACGGATTTTGTAAGGAGGAATACCTGATGACTTTTCATTCTTTGTTAGCATATTAAACAATTACTTTGGAATGTCCCAACCAATTTTATAAATTCAGCGACATTAAATTACATGGAAACTATAGTATCTATCATTTCTAGAGTAGAATTGATAATGTCTTATTTTTTGGATCACTGTGAAAATCAATTTTCACCAAGTTCCTTGAACATCTGACACAAAATTATGAGCTCGTTTCACTTTATTATCTTCTACAAACCATTAGGGCCTCTCAGGCAGAAAATGCCATGTCTCCTCGGAGGTTGGATTGGGCAGTTAAATTGAATCAACAAAACGTTTTGTGATATTAATGTCCTATAGCAAATGTTCAGTTTCAGGGCAAATCCTTCATCTACAGATGTTAAACTGATCAAAATCAATCAATGTTGATACTCAAAGCAAAGGCCTATCAGTTTTATTTAAGAGATTTTAAAGAATTACATCACATTTTAATTCTGACATTAAAATTCCAATGCTGAAAGTTCTAAAATGTTGATACTTCATTAAAGTATCAACTTCCTGAAGTTGATACTTCCTGAAGGATGGAGGAGGGAAAGGAACAAGGCTTGTAGTTGTATCATCTTTCTTTTGTTTCAGATTGAGGTTAGTGAACACATTTATTCCTCTCTAGATAGAGAACAATGTCTTAATATGCCTTTGTCCTTGAACTAACCTTGAAGAGACCCTCTAGTTCCAGGATCTGTTTGGTAGCTTGAAGAGGCTACCAAATGAAGAAGGTGAAGATGCTCTCAGGAGGGCTCTCTCAGCTCTAGGACTCTGGCATTCTGTGACATCATTTAGGAAGGATCATGTTTTGAGGTGTTAACTCACCAATAGCCAAACTCACAAGAAACTGATGCCTAAACAAAAAAGCCAGTGTATGAATATACAGAAGGTTACGCAGGCAGGATGACTAGTATGAGCCATTGACATTGGACTTTCTTTCCTGGTAGATAAGTTTGTTCTAAAGGTCATTTGCAGATATGAACAAATCACTGTATACTTTGAAGCTTTTTTTTTCTGTCAAGCCAAGGTGAATTGCCCTTTTCTAAAGGGTTAATCTGCTTTGTTTGTTTGCATCTGTCTAGACAGAGTATAGTTGTTGAATGAATGAATGAGCACAGGAATAAACTAGTGGAAGAACAGAAACTGTGGACTGGAATTCTGACTATTAATGTTGATATATAGCAGGGTACATGTTCCATCAGCCAAACATATATTCATCCTGCTTTTATGATAGTCTTTTTCATGTATAGCTTAGTAGCTAACTTTTCTTCATATTATTAAAATAATGTTATGTTGCCTTCCTTTATTTTTTTATCCTTGATGAAGAGAAAATTTTAATTTGTCTTGAATTACTTTTAAAGCAGGTCCCAACATCAACTTTTCATAAATATTTTGGGCAACTACACATGCAGCTTGTCCTGGGACATTTCTCCCTTCCTCTAGTGTGAAGACGATTTGGCTGAGAAGAGAAGGAGCAATGAGATCCTGCGCAGGGCCATTGAGACCTACCAGGAGGCGGCCAGCCTGCCTGATGCCCCCACAGACCTGGTGAAGCTGAGCCTGAAGCGGAGGTCAGACAGACAGCAGTTTCTAGGTGAGATAGAAGAAGAATCATTTCAGTAGCAAGCAGTGTGCTTTTATCTGAAAAAGTCTGGATGCTGTGTGTACTCTTAGAAGAGTTTAGTTACATGGAAGGAAACCTGAGTTTTCTACCTAATTTCAGGCAATTTCTCTGATTGGGTCAGCCTGAAAGAGGAATCTTTCATAATTACAAAGATACAGACATTATTTTTGCTGCTTACCTGCTCCCTACACATTTTAAAGATGAGGCAAATGGAATTCTGTGAGGTTGGATAAATTGCCTAAGGAATCATAGCTAATAAATGAATAGCTAAGTGTTAGTCACTTCAGTCATGTCTGACTCTTTGCAACCCAATGGACTGTAGCCCGTCAGGCTCCTCTGTCCATGGGATTTCCCAGGCAAGAATACTAGAGTGGGTTGCCATTTCCTTCTCCAGGGGATCTTTCCAACCCAGGGATCAAACCCATCTCACCTTCTGAGCCACCAGGGAAGCCCAATAAATGAATAAGTCTGGAATCAAAGACTTGTTGTTATGCCAAATTCCTCTTTTCTCTCTGCACTGTAACCATCTGGTCTGTGGTAGCTGAAATCATCAGTGGAATAGTTTTGTAGATATAAGAAATGTCAAGAGTTCTAAGCACTCTGTCCAACTGAGGTGAAGAGTGATGACAGTTGACGCCTCTAAATCTTACACATCCATTGGACAGCCCTTAAAATGAGTTGAAGCTGGGTTTTCAAGGTTCGTGTAGGCATAGCATCCTATTGTCCACCAGAGGGTCCCCTAATACCGGATGATGTCTCCTTGGCTCCAGGACTAGGTCATTACTGAGAGACAAAGACAAGCAGAGTACCTCAGTGCCTCTTCATGTCTCATCCAGGGTGCTAGACCCTGAAATCTATTAGACTTCTTATTTATCTATTCTGTATTCATAATTTTAAAGTTAATTATAATGTCAAAAATACCCCAGTAAAATTTTTTTTAAATAAGGAATGGGTAACTAAAACTTTCATAAGAGACAATTTGACATAAAGGGTAAATGTTGATGAATTTAGAAAATAAGAATGTCTTTAACATATTTGTAGTCAGTATTATATTCAGTATCTACTTACGGGAGTTATCTGTGTATATGAGCGTTCAGTCGTGTCTGACTCTTTTTGTGAAGCCCTCTGTCCATGGGATTTTCCAGGCAAGAATACTGGAGTGGGTTGCCATTTCCTTCTCCAGGGGGTCTTCTCGACCCAGAGATTGAACTGGCATCCCTTGTATCCCCTGCATTCTTTACCACTAGCGCCACCTGGAAAACCCACTTATGGGAGTTACTGATGCCCTTCGAGCTGCAGGATAAAATCCTAAGAGGGACTTAGCCATCACTATACGGAGTCAGAGTAGCTGGTCTTCAGGCTCTGTTGAATAGTCTCTGATGATTTGTAGTGCCAAGACAAGGGTGGACAGAAGCTATTTTTATTTCTATTGTTTTCTTTTTTTCTTTCCACCAAATCAGGTCACATGAGAGGATCCTTGCTTACTCTTCAGAAATTAGTTCAACTATTTCCTGATGATACTTCCTTAAAGAATGACCTTGGAGTTGGATACCTCTTGATAGGAGACAATGACAGTGCCAAGAAGGTCTATGAAGAGGTAAGTAGGCAGCAATTTGCTATTAACAATTAATCAAAGTCTTTTGAACATGGAGTTCTAATGTTATTTCAAAACTGCCTTTAATACGCCTGATAATTCACTCTCATTTTAAATTAAGTCAAATCCAAGTCTTATTATAGTTAACATATCCTAAATTTTGTTTCGTCACCCTTTTTCTGCTTCATCAGAAGATTTTAAATATTAGCTAACATTTGGTACATCAAAGCCTTCAACCTATAATTGTGATACTTTTTAAACTCATATATATATTTCAGACCGCAAATAACCTTTCTAAAGTGTTCTTTATGACAGGAAGAGGAACTCAAAAACTCAAGAACTTAAAAACACATTATCTTGTACTTTTTTCAGTTAAACTCCAAACTGGAGAGGAACTACAGAATACAAGCCTTTCGGTTATATGGCATAAATTACTCTCCTTTCAGAGGCATTGGCTGTCTGATCCTTGGGGGTTTTTTTGTTTTTTTTGGTTTTTTTTGGCTGTGTAGAGTGGCACATGGGATTTTAGTTCCTGGATCAGATATTGAACCCTTGCTGCCCTCAATGGAAGCGCAGATTCTTACCTGCAAGGAGGTCCCAGCAAAGACTGACTTTAAGGTGGTTGCAGAGACCTTGCTCACATCCTTGGCTTTTGGAGACTTTGCTGCACTTTCCCCCTTGTTAGTAACACCATCAATTACCTGAGCCACACTTGGTCCAGCATCTTCCTGCCCCTTGCCTTCCTTCATTCCTCATGCTTATCCACTCACTTAGCACTTATTTATTGAAACCCACAGGCTGGCTCAGGAACTGGTGGTTAAGGAAACAACACAGAGAATGCCATCATGGAGTCAGTCTGGTACCAAGTAACTAATCTCTGTTACTTTTAACACTCTCAGTATCTTTCCAATCCTCTTATTTAACTCAGGCCCCATTGTCTCTAGTGTAAAATAGGATAGATCCACCCCACCCAGCCTTGTTTTTTACGCTCTTCATCAACACAAAATGCCAATCCAACCCTCATCCTTGGCTTCAGCTCCTCAGTGGTTCCCACTGCCCATAGCAGTAGTCTTCAGACGTGTTTGATTGTATCCGCTTTCAGTAAAAATGTTCAAGCAAAAACCTGTGAATTGTATGTTTATGTATACAAGTACTAGCCTATGGTGGACATTCTAGAAGGTCCACATTCTAAAATAGGTTTTAAGATGAAATATTTCAGATACTTTCAAAATTTCACTTAACTGTCAATAATATTTTCACTCTCACTGAAAAATTGATATTTTAATAATGTCCATGTGAAACATTATTTACAAGGATATTTTTAGTCCTGGTAGTGTGTCCTGCCGAATTTGTGCAGAACTAGAAATGTCAGCCAGTTTGTTGTTGCCTATGCTTTATGTGTGTGTGTGTGTGTGTGTGTGTGTGTGTGCACGCGTGCGTGTGTGTGTAAACAGAGAGAGAATCTCGGTAACATTTTTAGTATTAATCTCAATTTGACTTTTTTAGAAATCTTATAAAGCCATTTGTCATTTTCTGAGAGTTTGCTAATTACAACAGGATTATACAATTTGTGCAGTGTTATGCACTGCATGTAAACTGCAGTAAGCGCAGTAGGTGATCATAAAGAATCAAGCTGGGAGGGCAGCCCTGTGGGTCCCTCTGAGTCCTGGTCACCCACCCCACCTCTGTCATAGTAGCAGGTATGTGAGTGGGATGTGGACTTCATGGACTCATCCATGAAGATGAGAGGAGAATCCTGGAGCAGCTGTATGCAAAAGTGAAAGTGTTAGTCACTCAGTCCTGTCTGACTCTTTTTGTGATCCCCGTGGATGGTAGCCCAATAGGCTCCTCTGTCCATGTAATTCTCCAGGCAAGATTACTAGAGTGGGTTGCTATGCCCTCCTCCAGGGGATCTTCCCAACCCAGGGATCGTACCCAGGTCTCCTCCATTGCAAGCAGATTCTTTACCATCTGACCCACCAAAGAAGCCCATAAAATATATATGTAAAGAAATATATGATAACCATTCAGAGCTGACTTTAAATAGAGCTAATTTAAAGCAGTCTTTCCCTGAAAAATACTGAAGTCATAAAATTGATAGAGATTTTGCTGATTTGCATTGTTAGAGCAATGCTTTAATGGTCATTGCCTTTTCATTCATTTCTTCATTCTTGGAGAACATTTTGCGTTGAACATTTTGAGTTGAGGGGAAATGGGGCCATTTAAGTCTAATGTATTGCACTGAGAAAAAACACTATTGCACTTTAACCTATAGCATCATAATCCAGTCCAAGCACAGCAAAGTTAATTAAAACATTTGTAGAATTCACAGTCCATCGCAATAGCTTTTTTTTTTTTTTGAGTTTAGGTTCTGAGCGTGACACCTAATGACGGTTTTGCTAAAGTGCATTATGGCTTTATCCTGAAGGCACAGAACAAGATTGCTGAGAGCATCCCCTATCTAAAGGTAAAGGTAACTCCCTCCCCTCCTCTCTTTCCCTCTTCTGATCCCTTTGAGTCATTTGGACACCCTTAATTATGTATTGTAGATTGACTGGCATGCACTACTGACCCTTTTCAACACCAAAATATATACCTTCAGACGATGACATTCACAGGCAGTGTGGACCTTCAGCTTAATTGAGGGTGTCAGAGATAGAAGTGTTATGAGCAGAGATTATTTGGAAAAGATTTTGAAGAGATTCCTAAAACTGCAGTTGTTATTAGTTGATAAAATATTTTAAAATATGGGCAATGCATTAACACAGTATCAACCAGAGACACATGAATACATCTTTTGTTACCCAAACATTATTGACCGGAGACATTTCAATTTTCACTAGCATAGCAAATTGCCAGCCACAGGCATTAGTTATGGCAAAAATCCCCCAGCAATAATGAATTAACTGTTCCTTTTGCAATTTAATTATACATTGAAACTGCTTTGAACAGGTTTCATGGAAACCTACACAAAATGAGGTAACAAATGCAGACTGAGTAAATCCAATCCCCAAAAGCCTGATAGCTTGAAAGATTCAGAATAAAATGTGTTGTCATTTCTTGTTCACATAAAAACGGAATCCTCGTCAGTTCACCAGGATCACATGTGGTCTGGCTCAGGGCTGACCAGCAGAACTTTCTGCCATAAAGGAAATGATCTTTATTTGTATTTTCTCATATGGTAGCCACTAACCACTTGTGACTGTTGAGCATCTAAAATGTGGCTAATATCACTGAGGAACTGAATTTGTTATTTGTAGTTTAAATAGTAACACCAGCTGAAAAAGTGAAAGTGAAGGTGTTAGTCGCTCAGTTGAGTCCAACTCTTTGCCACCCCATGGACTGTAGTCCGCCAGGCTCTTCTGTCCTGGAGACCAGGCAAGAATACTGGAGTGAGTAGCCATTCACTTCTCCAGGGCATCTTCCTAACACAGGGATCGAACCTGGGTCTCCCACATTGCAGGCAGATTCTTTACCATCTGAACTACCAGGGAAGCCTGTAACACTGGCTAGTAGCTACCATATCAGCCAGGTAGCTGATTATATACCTATGAACTTGAAGTAGCACTTTTATGATCCACTTTTGTGATCTATTTCCTTCATAGGACTTTGGTCAGAGATCCCAAATAGTGACCCACTGATTACAAGTAGCTTGCATGTTCTATTTGGCCAGTCTAATCCTCTTAAGAACAATTTTAATTGCTTACCTTAGTTGAAAATCTGGAGGATTTTATATAATCAAGCAAATTTCTGATTTCTCTGGAAAGGTTCCGTGAGATCCACATCTCAGCACAGGAGCTGAGCAGTGGTGCCCCTTGAGTGGGCATACACCGCACCCCCAAGCCTGTCTTGACTGTCACGGGACCTCAGCAACCTGCCAATTCCCCACCATGAACCTGTGGGCACATAATCCTCTCTGATATAAAATATTCCTCTTAAATTTCCTTTGACATCACAAGGACCTAACAATACCCTCCTGGCACGGAGATGAGGAAGTAGAGGGCAGGGTTGGTTAGTTAACGAACGAGGATGTTTACCTGAGCATCTGTCAGTCAAAAACCCGGATCACAGCCCTCCTCTCCTGAGTGATGCTTCTGTTCTGTGCTGCTATTTTCCACCCTTATGTGCATAAAATTTCACCGGAGTAAAAGATAATGGGCTTCTTATGCAGAAGCCTCAAAGATGCAGACTTTTACACATTGAAATATGTTTTATCTTTGATCTTCTTTTACTTTTCTAAATTCATTCTCTTGCTTTAATATTTCTCTCTTTTTTGTTTTTACATAAATTTAAATTTCAGTTCTTTTGTGGACAGTGGGGATAGAAATCAGCTCAGTGTTTTAGGATGGGAGTTGTTTAATAAAATTATATTTTCAAAGATTCCAACTGACTTTAATCCTATCGTGTGTTCTGTAAATGATTTCATTGAAAAGTGAGGACACGTTTGTTTTGAGTGGAAAAAAAGATTACTTGTAGTTGGGTCTCTATCATTTCAAACATCTATAAGCAACTAAACATTTTTGTTCAGGGGATAAAAGCCTCTAGATGACATATGATCAGATTTGGAGAACAAAATAAATGTGATAGAAACTCTGCCAGAGAAATTCTTTGGGAAATTGAAATACGATTGTTCCTACAGAGACACTTCACAAAGCATCATATTAAACTTAATGGGCTATTCCACTGTTAATTGATGATGAATGCATTGTTACATTGAACTTTATCACCTCCTTTTGGTTTTGCATTGTAAATATTGACCAGTAACCTAATTGCCAAATTGATGCCTTTAAACTGTGTTGCTGGAGAAAACTCCTGAAAGTGTCTTGGACAGCAAGGAGGTCAAACCAGTCAATTTTAAGGGAGATCAACCTTGAATATTCACTGTAAGGACTGATGCTGAAGCTGCAGCTCCAATACTTTGACCACCTTATGCAAACAGACGACTCATTGGAAAAAGTCCCTGATGCTGGGAAAGAATGAGAGAAGAAGAAGGGTGTGTCAGAGGATGAGATGGCTGGATGGCATCACCAATGCAAAGGACATGAACTTAGGCAAACTCTGGGAGATGATGAGGGACAGGGAGGCCTGAGGTGATGCAGTCCATGGGGTTGCAAAGAGTCAGACACGACTAGGAGACTGAAAAACAACAATATTGAGAGGATTTTCTGGTTTATAGAAAAGATTTAGTAAGTCAATGGATTAATAAGTCTGGTATCTAATCCTTTTACAAATACTAACACTGTACTTTCTACAGGACGGAATAGAATCTGGGGATCCTGGTACTGATGATGGGAGATTTTATTTTCACCTGGGGGATGCCATGCAGAGAGTTGGAAACAAAGAGGTAATAGTGCATTCATGAGCTTTTTGTTCTCTTTAATAGAAGATGGGTGGGGGTGGGGGGGGCAATGATTTCTATGAGACAGTTACAACTGAAAAAAAAATGTTTTGAGCATAAACTTTTGAACGTGGTTTAAACTTTTTGCAACAGCCTAACAATTCCTACTATAAAGAAATTTTGGGATTTGACTTTTATCATTTCTTTCAATAAGGTTTCTGAATATCACAAGAGTAGCCTCCAAATTAGTGTGCGTATGCGTGTGTCTGTATGTGTGCATGTATATGTGTGCCTGTTTGTATGTCTGTGTGTGTATCTATAGAGACAGATATTGCCTTGAAAAAATATTTTTAGTCCTTGCAATAGTTTAAATATCTTATAAGATATTTTTATAGTTTGCCTGTGCTGTGCTTGGTCACTCAACCATGTCCTACTCTGTGACCCCATGGACTGCCAGGCTCCTCTGTCCATGGGAATCTCCAGGCAAGAATACTGGAGTGAGTTGCCATTTCCTTCTCCAGGGGATCTTCCTAACCTGGGGATTGAACCCAGGCCTCCCACATTGCAAGAGAAATTTTTACCATCTGATCCACCAGGGAAAAATACTGGAGTGAGTAGCCTATCCCTTCTCCAGGGTATCTTCCCAACCCAGGAATCAAACTGGGGTCTCCTGCATTGCAGGATGATTCTTTACCAGCTGACCTACCAGGGAAGCCTAGATTTATGTTATTTTGGAATTTTAAAAGTAGTTATTTTTAGAATGAAGTCTTTATCCAACTGATTCTTAAGCAGACTGAACCTGGTTAATTGTGTAATTACTTTCTGAAATATTTAATACCAAATTTAAGATGAGCATCTACAGCTATAATAATGACCAGTACTGACACAAAAAATGTAGCACCTAAAACAAATCACATGTTTTCTTTTATATTATTCCTTTTTTCTGAGTTCAATGTCAGCTTCTTTAGTATAACATTTGGTCATTAATGATGGCATCATACTATGTAAATCCCCAAACTCTCACCATCCACTGTGGTTCACACAACCTTGCTAGGCTGTCCTGCACCATGCCATGGCCCTATGCTGGGCTTTCATTAGAGCCAGGGACCCTGGATTTTTGTAACCATGCATTTCATATATATATATAGATATATATATCTCAATAATAAGGTGACATCTGAGGGTAACATAACTTCTGGCTTCTAAAACTAATAAGAACTCAGTACTATTTGGACAATTGAGGGTTCGTTGGAGCAAAGGGTTTTGTAACTGGGTAATTGCCAGCTAAAGAGACGACGCAATTTGGGGTAACAGAAATTTGGATGACTGACACTGTTTTCTTTATCCATTTCTGTGTATCTGTACCTTTTCCCTCTGACCTACCTGTCAATCAACTGAAATAAAATAAGAAATGAAAGAAGAGAAAGAAGGGAGAAGAAATTGCTGATTAGCAGTCACTTTTGTGTTCCTTCATTCTCTTAAGATGTAAATTCCTGGCACCTCCTTTGAATGAGAAGGATAAGAAAGACTTTGTAACAGTATCTAACACTGGATAAATGTTCATATCTGATTACTATAAATGTAATCGTCACTAATTAATTTACCTTTGAACATCGCATGGTCCAGGGTGAAGACAGATAAAACAGAGAAGTCTGTGATTCAGTCTCACATCTTAGATGAAAACAGCCTTCACTTCAAGGGCAAACAATTCACTACTACACATTGTTAAGAGCTTGTGATTTGAACCTATGGGATTGTGTTTTCAGCTTAATTATCATTAAAATGCAAGGAATAGCACAGTTCTTGAATTTAAAAAGCCCACAGAGAAACAAATAGCGTATAAAGTGAGGTAAAAGTGTTCCTTGCTCAGTTGTGTCTGACTCTTTTTGACCCCATAGACTGTAGCCCACCAGGTTCCTCTGTCCAGGGAATTCTCCAAGCAAGAATACTGGAATAGGGTGCCATTTCCTCCTCCAGGGGATCTTTCCAACTCAGGGATCAACCCTGAGTCTCTTGCATTGGCAGGCAGATTCTTTACCACTGAGCTACGAGGGAATCCTCATTAATGCATGTATACATATGGAATCTAGAAAAATGGTACTGATGAACCTATTTGCAGGACAGGAATAGAGACACAGACATAGAGAGTTGACTTGTGAGTACAGCGGGGGAAAGGAGAAGGTGGGATGAACTGACAGCATACCATTGACATAGATACACCACCATGTATGAAATAGATGGCTAGTGGGAAGTAGCTTGTTTAACAGGGGGAGCCCAGCTCAGTGCTCTGTAATGACCTAGAGGGGTGGAATGGGGTGGGCGCTGGGAGGCAGGCTCAAGAAGAAGGGGACGTCTGTATACTTAAAGCTGATTCACATTGTTGTAGAGCAGAATCCAACACAACATTGTAAAGCAACTATACTCCAATTAAAAATTAAAAAATTAAAAATCTGGCTAAATTCACTATGTCCCCTATATAATTGAAGATAATTTTTTTAAATTCCTTATATATCATTTCATAGTTTTGTTTCTCTAAGAGTTAAATGGTGGGGGGTGAGGGAGAGGACTTCCTTGGCAGTCCAGTGGTTAAGACTCTGCACTTCCACTTCATGGGGCATGGGTTCAATCCCTGGTGGGGGAACTAAGATCCTTGGAGCTGAGCAGCTAAAAAAATAAAATTAAATGGCAGAGGGGTATAAGGTCAAGGGCCCTGTTTGATGCACTAGTACCAACTTTGAGTGTCAGAAAAGCTCTTACAGATACTTGAACATGCCCTGTAAATACAATGTCTTGCCCAGGCACCCAGCATGCTGAGTGTTTAGTGTAGGACTGAAATCTAAGACTTCTAACTCCACTAATTTCCTTCTCATTATTCTAACACTATGTCTTTAAAGTGAATTGCTGATGATTAAAAAAAATTAGAATTTCCATTGATTGATTTGCGGATATTAAAGAATCCTTGCATTTCTAGGATAAAGCCCACTTGGTCATGGTGTATGATTTTTTTAATATGTTGTTGGATTCTGTTTGCTAGAATTTTGTTAAGGATTTTTGCATCTATGTTCATCAATGATATTGGCCTGTAGTTTTCTTTTTTTATGGCATCTTTGTCTGGTTTTGGAATTAGGGTGATGGTGGCCTCATAGAATGAGTTTGGAAGTTTACCTTCTTCTGCAATTTTCT